GTATTGGAGGTGGCAACAAACAGCTGACTACCTTCTACCACCAAATACATTTTAATTATCAGTTTGTTGCTCCAAAATCTTCAATTCAACCAACGCTGTGCCGTCCATACCAAACCCACCAGTCGGTTTGGCAATTTACAGAAAATGCCCTTAGAGGGAGGCCCTCAGCTTCGGGTTCAACAAGTCCATTAGTCAAAGTGTCCAACCAAAGTTTGATCTTGAATTCAATTTGTTGAATCCAAAAGTCCTGCTTCTGCTTGGTTGCACCCCAAGATTAAAGGAGCATTAAACGATAATGCAATAATATAGGTACCATGGTACTTTTGAATTGTAAATATGGGAATATAACATAATATACAGTATTATAAATAGACGTTTAAATAAAATGAATTGATAATCATTAAGTTTACAATGTCATCTAACATTATTGGCGAATAAACCATGAAGATTTGATCTTTTTAAATATAATCAAACAAATATAATAACAACAATAAGCAAATGTTTCCTTATAAGTCAACTTTAGTTTTAAAATCTCTCAATCAACATATGTAAAATTTTTCTCAGAATATGAGATTAATTTGTTAAATGAACCATCGCAACATAGAGGTGCATTATTAAAATTATTTATTAAGGAATTAGATTCGAAGTCCACTCAAACGAACATAAAAATGAAAACATATTGACTATTTAAACCAAAATAAATTTGAGGAAAATATACACACTCAATTTGATGTATTTTTTGGTATTTATTTTGATTTAATTATTAAAATATAATATAAATACAATTGATTTAATTAATTTTTTTATTTTATATATAATTATACTTTTAAATTCATTTATTTTTAATTTTACATTAAAAAATAATAATTTTTTAACTAAATATATTATATAATATATTAAATCAAAAAATATATATTAAATCATTATTTTAAATTTAAGTAAGATATGAGAACCTTTTGGCATGTGCTCGCCTAATACAAACAAGGAAAACAATTGCGCTATTCGCGTGCTATAGAAGAATTAAAATAATCAAAACTCAACCTAAAATGAAAACAAATTTTTTTTTTTTTTGTTAATTTCATGTGGCATGACAGACATCACACGGCATTTAAGATGATATAAACACTTCTATTAGTAATAAAATGACATAAAACTCTTGTCTTAAATTGAGTGGTTAAGAGGTTGCCATGTCATCTGGGGCTAAGAACAAAGTAAAAATCAAGAATAATGCGCATTCTGGTGTGGATACATTTGGTGAATAATTCAGGTAAGGATTTAATTACTTTATCATCTCTTAAGAGTATAGATTAAAATGATATTAACTGTATTATTTTATATTTTAATTTTAATTTTTTGATATGAATTAATTATAAAATTATATAATAAATATACATTTAATTTATAATCTATAAATATAAGTTAAAATTTCTTTTATATAAATAAATTACAATTTTTTTCATTTTAAAATACCCAAAAAAAGAAAAAAGAAAAAAGAAAAAAAAAAGAACTTCTTCCATCCCTCCTCCCACTCTACTTCTATGGAATGAGATTCAAATCCAAAAACTTTTAAGTGGTTAGCTATGAATGGTTGATATTAGTAATAAATAGCTATATATATTTGGTGTTTTTGGACTTGTTGTCTAGCCAAATTGGGAAATAATTTTTGTTATAACTTCTAGGTGTTTTGGGCAAGTTATCATGGCCCACTTAAGAAGGAATTTTTTTTAAAAAATTTTTGACAAATTTTAATATTTATTATTACTATAGATACTAAGTTATATAAACTTTTTAATTAACCTGTATATATATATATATATATTTAAAGAAGGAAAAAATAAGAAACAGATGAAAAGACACAAGTAAAAATATTTTAAAGATAAAAGGAGAACAAAAGCGAAGAACATAAAAGATAATATCTTGATTGAGGGTCTACATCATATATGGTTCCAGTACTAGAGATGTCCCAAAATAAAGAAATGATTTTATGGGGTTTTGCAAAGTATATTCAACTTATTAACCACAAAAAAATGATATAAATAGGATTCAATGTCTATAAACGGCTGCATTATAGAATCACATGTAAGCTATATGTTGCATGGATTAAGATTTGAGAATTAAGAGAGCATGAATGCAGCCCCCCAAAAGGAAGAATGAATGCATGCATTCTGCTAGATGGTAGTACTTAAAAACACGCACATCACGATGGTTTGTGGAAGTCATTTTCTATCATTACCCCACATTCAAGAGACTATGGATCAAGCATCAATTTATGTCAACTGGCTGGTAATAATACTAACCTCAAATGATAATGCCACTGATCCGAGGGTGATGTTACTTGACCTGCTTGGAGAATGGACCCACGTCGGCGAGAAGATTTTGGTAACCGACAATAAACCCATAGCACAACGACAACAACCCAAAGCACGCCTTTGTTCCTTTAATGCTTGGGAATTATAGGTTTTGATTTTGGCCGTCACGGCATAAAATCTTATTTGTTGGAAGTAACCATGACCATGACTTGCTATTTGCTCTGAAATATTGTTCATCGTTTTTTGAATTTTAGCTAATAATTAAAGCCCAACTCATAATCTTTTTTCTTCAGGTATATGATTGTGTAAATATAATTCTTACTTGGACCATCGGATGGAGCTACGCGTAGAGGACTAGAGAGGCTGTATTTGCCCAAAAAATATGCTTCCATGATGGAGAACAGTCAACCTGCGGCTAGAGAAAAAAAAAAAAGGGATGATTTAAAGCATTCCACTGCATCTCTACCAAACTTAGACTTTGAAAACAATGACAAAAAAAAGGAGGCGTTCATACGTAAATTTGTAGAAAATATAGCTAATTCTCAAAACAATCTCTTCGTGAAAAAAAGAAAAAAGGAAAAAAAAGAAAGGGGTATTTCATGAATTTCAGTTCAACAATAATGTTAGCCCTATTTTGAGATAAAATCCAAGTATCAGAGCAAAGACCTTCCCAAATCTAATATTTGTCCTTTATCCCTTGCTATGCAAGAAACCATCTGAATTGGAGCAATTTAGGTTGCACTTAGACTTTTAAATGCACCCAAATCTTTTAAATGCACCCACTTTTTGAGTTCAAATTACGTCAAAATAAGAATTGAGAGAACCTGAAACATTAAACAAGAAATTTTAGATTTTTACACAGTGGATTTTTTAATACATGGAAGAAAATTGTAATACTAATTATGCAATTGTACGTCTTCATCTGTGTAACTGACTTTTTTTTAATGGTGGCATTTCCAAAAAAAAAAAAAAATGGTGTGGTCATGTCTTTCAATTTCTTTTCCAGACAAGTAAACATTCATTGAATAGCTGTAGGTAGCATCCTAGTATTAATCAATATACATGAATGACTGTAGAGAGTACCTAGGAATTACATAATGCTCATCTCATTTTCATTTGCATAGGATGCATACACAGAATCTGAGTGACTCCTATGGATGTTATTTGAACAGTGAAATACACAGGGATTTGCTCTGCATGACTTGGAATTATTTAGATCTCTTATCTTGGGAACAATAGAATCATATAACAGAATCACATAACTGTACCATGATGGTGTTGTTTTTCTACTTATATGTTGGAGTCAAGTCAGAACACCTCCTATGTTATTGCAACAGAGCAAATGAGATGTTTGTTTTTCTACCTACATGTTGGATTTTTAAGGAATGGCAAAGCCGCTGATATAGGGGGTTATGGTTTGTGTCAATGCAGAGGACAATTTTGGTGGCAATAGTAGCGTTTCTTTTTTACTGGATTTCTGATTCTTGCCCCATTAAAAAATTAAGCTCACACGTGAATACAGAAAGATTACAGCACAACTGAAGTAACACGGTGGGAGAAATCAAGCCTGGGAATTGGAAACATGTAAACCGACAAGCAGAACCTCTATTTTGACCAAAGCAGAGAAGACACAGAGCAAAACAGAGAAGAAACAGAGCACCAGATCAATATAAATCAATATATAGGTACAACATGTCTCCCAGCCGCAGGGGTATAGAATAGAGACCAACAAGAGCAGGAAAAAGAGAAAATATTTTGTCTTTTAGCGGAACAGAAACATGTTTTTCTTATTTAAAGAATCTATCTATCAATCATAATTATAGCTGTCATGCAATTTCAGTCCAACTATAATGTTTTTCTTCCTGTTAAATCATTATTACAAGTTGTTCGAATTTTATTAACTATAGAGTAACCACGCATGGTATCAGTTTTACGTTGAATGACTGCAGTTAGATTAAATGAGGTTAAATTGTATCAAAGGGAGGAAGGGAAAGTTTCCAAATAAGTGACAAAAATTGAACTGCCCTCAAGAGACCATTTGTGCATATAATCAAAGAGACCATTTGTGTATATAATCAAACAGTTCAAATGCAATCACAATACTAAAGAACAACTTGAATCAAGGGATTTTGAGCCACATACCGTAACAATTTCACCGCTGTTCTCTTTCTCTAGCTTTGTATCAGCACTTTCTCCACTACAAAAACCAGTTATGGAGAGCACATTAGAGATCTTGGATTCAAAATGCAACAAATACATTACATTTTTGGAGGATTGGCTACTGCAGACCCAATGGTTGCAGATTGAGGGATGATGGCCCTGTTGACTACAGTTCCCTACATATTTCCAATCTGCATACTGATCGATTTTGGATCTGAAATCAATGTCTGTTGGATCGCGGTACATAGGCACATGATAACATTGTGGTGCTATGTTAGACAATCCACATTTCACCATTGATGTGCTGCAGAGAGCACCTACCACTTGCTTTCTTCATTACCTATTTGATTTAATTACCATAATTTCAAATAATTATGAGTAATAGAAAATCCAATATTATGAATGCATATAAAATTCATGCCAGCCACAACAGCAATATGATGCCCATCACGTACCCTATCCATGCACAACAATACTGGAATTAGTCTGAAGGCGTATGGAGTGGTGCCCCAAACCAAACAAATACCAAACAAATACCAAACAAATACCAAACAAATACCCAAGTGACCCTCCTCACATTTGACAGCAATCAAAACTCCCACGAGGACAAATAACTCAAATCAGATTCCAGCAAATTTAAAGAAATAATCTTATGTTCAACTTCAACAATCAAGATACAAAAAAATAACTCAATCAGATTCTAGCAAATTTAAAGAAATAATCT